AGAGAGAGAGAGAGAGAGAGAGAGAGAGAGAGAGAGAGAGAGAGAGAGAGAGGGCTGTCATCCGATTCTTTAATATCTGAGCCTGACAGCACACACCGATGAAATTTACAAATAAATCAACGCCATTAAAGACAATATGTTTGATAACTTAGAGTTAATTTTACTTGCAATCAAAATAGTCTAAAGTTGAGATACGCTTAGAGCGAAAGTGTTGGATTTGTATTTTTAAAAAGGCATTGATTTATGCTTTTGCACCAGTGTGTGAGAGCCGTGGCGTACCTGTAGCAATAAACTGCAACCGATGCGAAGCATAGAAAGACCCCGAACACCATGCTGACCAAGGTGACTACCATGGACAGGGTGGAGACGTGGTTGGATGCTTTGTCATCTGAAACGATAGGACAAGCGGACTTAACGCCCCACATGCTACTCACTACGTCCTACCGGTGACCCACCGGAGTGACGAGGCCACTACAGAGTCCGCGCTACGGCAAGCAGTATCTCTACAGTAGAGTCTACATCCGCGTCGACAAAGGAAACGAGCGGACAGTTTCCGGTGCGCGAGAAGTGCATTTCGTGAACATCGTGAGCAGGCCGTGCTATTGTTAGAATTTTATCTGCATTGCAGTCAAAACAAGAAGGGATTTCGAGCAGAACCCTGTTCAGGCGTTACAGTTATCGATTTGACATGTTCGTAACGATTTGAACCGCGAACGATTCTTAAATACGGCAGGGCTGGCTACAAATGGTTAATTAACTTTTTGACAAATCGACGGCAAGTTATTGGAATTGTAGGATTACGGTTTAAAAGTAGCATACATCGTATGTTTTTCATTTGAAAATCTAAATTAGTCAAGCTCGCTCTTAAACGCATTTTAAGCTTAGACACGTATTTTTGGAAAAAGTTTACAATTTAGAGCTATTGGGAAAGTGAAATATAGGCCCCATCTTCAAGTGCAGGCAGTGCTTTGCAGGAACCCTGTAAAACTACATATAACAAGAGTTATTAAGTCAAGGCACTCATTAGATAACAGCTCGCACCGGACTCTCCACTTGAAAATGTACCAAAATCTGTAATGAATCGAATCATGCAGTAAAAAACCTAATTAGGTAGACAGAGTGAGATCGCCCACTTTCAGTTGCAAGTTAGAATCTTATCAATTTGCCTGTGGAATTCATAGATTCTACCAAATAGTTAAACGGAATATAGGGGCACATTCGATAGGCTACAAATCCCATGTTACAAACGTTAGCAAAACTTTGATAAAAGAAATCCCTCATGCACACACACGCGCACGATCTCAAAATTCGATGTAGGATTTCAGGCAACGAAACCTACCGTAGGGGGTTTCCTTTTGAGTCATTTTGCTCGACAGGTCGAATTTGGGCGTTGTGGTGCTGGGTTCCTCTGTAGTAGTGGCCTGTGGGATCCTGTACACAGGATCCGGCACCTGTATTGAGCAGTCGGGGCCAGCATACTCCGGCGTACAATAACACCGGTTTTGGTTGGTGCACACCTGAAAGACATTGGCAATCGCTAAAGTCTCCTGACTTAGTTACCGGGAAGCATCCATTAAAATTATGACAAAAGAAATGGACAACAATAACGGCAGAAGCTTTTAGAAGCTCGGCCCTTCACATACCCCATTCCCAGAACATTCCTTGCTTGCGTGGTTGCTGGGGCAGTTGTCCTTGTCTATGTGGGGGTATATGCTTTGGCACGTTTGGTTCAGACAGATCTGGGAAAGGAAAAGGATAGGTGAGACTCGAAAAAAAAAAATACTCGTCGTGCTTCCCATCGATATTTGACTACACTCACGAAGTTCTCCCCGCACCCTGTGCCGTCTTGGACGAGCCCTCTCGAGTCATGAAGTGTCCTGCAAAGCACAATGCGTTCAGTAACAGTTATGACCAAGACAAAGTAAACCTGCAGATCTGCCGTGGCGACTTACTTGCACGTCGTCTCTCTGCCCTTCATTGTTGTCACGATACTGGAGTGTTCAGTCTCTTCGCCGATCGGCTTCTTCTCCCCGCCAGTGCAGTGCAGAGACCCGCACAAAACGTTCCTGTGCAAAGAGACCGGTTACTTCCGTTTAGTTTAAACTGAAGGGAGTAATAGTAATAATAAACGATTAAAGTCCAACTAACTGTTTGTCGCATGGCCTCAGCAGACCGTCCTTTGCTGTGCCACAATGGCCGTTCTCAGAGCCTTTGACGTTAAAATGCTCGTAGCATTCGGTATCGCTTGATACACTATCTGCAAGGGATGATGTAAAAATGGCGATTAGTAGTTTTCATGCCAAAATAGAAAAAAATGCAACTCGGAGCAGGCCAGCTTTGGCCAATTGCATGAAACAATCCCGTCGACGCGTAGCGTGTGACTTCACAAAAGAAAACCAAAAATACCTTCTCCCCAGATCTTGGCGCACTGGAAGTCTCTGACAGGGCAGGTGCCGTTAAAGCAGAAGCTGGTGGAAACCTGGTGAATGGTCTTCCCGCACGGAGAGCCGTTCTTCTTGTACACGTTGGTCGGGCAGATGCTGAACTCGCCGGTGCAGAACTCGGGCAGGTCGCACTCGCCGGCCGACTCGCGGCAGACCTGCTCGGGGCCGCGCAGCTTGCAGTCGCTGGTGCAGCACGGCCCCCGCGCGCACTCGGCGTTGGCGGCGAACTTGCACGTGATGGGGTCGCAGCACTTGTCGTCCTGGCACTCGTCCACCGTGCCACAGTCGCAGTCTTCGCCGGGACCCTCCACGATCCGGTTCCCGCAAGTGGCCCCGGTCGCAGGGATCTAGGGAAGGGAAGGAAAACAATAAAGGTGTCGGAGGTCCTCTTATTCCACCGTCAACAAACACGACGCCGACGTTGAGTCAAAGCATACCTCGTTGGGCTTGTTCAGCAGGCACATGGCCTCCCCCAAGCGCAACACATCCATGTACTCCTTGGCCGAGCACTCGGAGAACTTGTAGGGGAGCACATGGTTCAGCCCGATGATGGACTGCGCCATGATGCACCCGTGCCAGTCCTTGCAGAAGCACTCGTCGCCTGCCATTTAAAGACGAACGTTATCAAGTTTCTAATGTCATAAAAGCCTTCTTTTTAAAACAATTTTTGTAACTTGTAATTTTGCTACAAAAAGCATTCCAACGAAAACAAAACAAAAAGTTTTAAAAGTGTGAGGGCACGGAAACAAATCAGTGATGAAAAGTGAAAATGTGCAAGGGGCGTAAGTCAACGGACTTCCCATTGGACGTACGCCCTTTTCACTTTTTATCGGTGAAATACGAACACGACACCCTCGGGGCGCCTGCGTGGTAGGCAGACCCGCGGCACATCCGTGCTCGGCGGGCTGGCCTATCACCCCGACCGCAGGCGCTCGTGCGGCGGCGGGCTGGCTGGCTCCGGGAATACTCACGGCCGTCGTCGTGCAGCATGCCGATATTGTGGCCGATCATGTGGGCGACGATGCCGCCCAGCAGGTGCGGCTCGTACACGTTCATCTCAACCGCGATGCCGACGGCCTTGACGGAGCAGAGCGTGTGAGGCACCGCCATCCCCATCTGGCCGCTGGGAAACTCCTCGCCACTGGAAACGGAGATGCAATATTGGCAAATATAAGCATGACGGGATGAGTAAAGGAAAACGCAGAGTCCATAGATACGACCATGTGAGAAGGGTATCGCAATGTAAAAACCTTGCTTGTGAACGATTGTGGCTGCTTTGTTTTTGCGAACCCATTACGAATAACGATTTATTTTGTAATGCGAAGAAAATTTCGAAAGAATCCTCTGCAATTACGATGAAAGTCCCTCGTAGGCTTACAGGGACCAGCCTTCATTCGCAGGGAATTATCGAGTTTCTGCGAAAGGCGCAGGTTCTACTATTACCTGAGCAGCTGCGTCGTGTCCTTGCCGATTGTGTACAGGGTCCTGGCCGTATACTCGTGGAAGTTGCGCAGCGTCTCCCCGATGTCCTTGGGGACGATGGTGGCCTGGTTGGCCTCTTTCCACGTCTCCACGTACACCACAGATACGCGCGTGTTGAGCGTGCGGAAATACTGGGACAGGCAATGTAAACGTTATAACACGCAAAAAAAAAGTTAGCTGTGAGAGCTAATAGTATTAGCTGGATACGGGACAGCTAATAATATTAGCTGTGGTAGCCAATACAAGTGTGCAGCGGCAGGTTGTCATTCAATCGCCATCATGGCCTATGTAGGTTTACTGTCGTAGCTAATTCACGTCGACTGGAAATCCGAAAAGAAGCCGGTAGGTGTCGAACCTATTAACAGATGCATGACGAAAGCGCGACGACATTTTTTGTCTTGTGTCTAGCGCGATGTGTCCCCCATGGCCCCCTTAGTGACGACGAACGAGAAAGCCGACAGAAGCGGGCGGGACTCGAACCCGGACCAGCCGGCCAGCCGGCGCGTCTTGAGCGACACCTCAGGCCGCTCGGCCACCGCGCGCCCTGTCGGCGGTCAGTTTGGATCGCGCACACCCTCCATTGAGAAGCGGGACGATCCAGACACCGCCTCTTCTCCTCCACACATGACTGAGTCACTTGTGAACGCTAAAATTAGTGCCGCTCCAGCTAATCCAAGAATTAGTCGTGACTATAAATCAAGTTTTGCTCCTACAAGTAACCATTTTATCTCTCAGAGGAGAGCGTGCTATTAGCCCGAAACGACACAACGCCCTGACCACAGCAACAAATTATACATGCGAGTGCTGCAAAATCTCTATTAGCTCTCAGAGCTAATATACCAATGCAGGCACAGGAAAAGGTCGACTTCCTCCGATAGCAATGACCGTGTCCCATCGAGCGAAGAGTGTTAGCTGTAGAGGCTACAATTATTAGCTGTCCTGAATCCAGCTAACAAATTAGCTCTGAGAGCTAAACTTTAGCTAAGCCGGCAAATCATTTTTTTGCGTGAACGTGTGTAAATAACTGAGCGGACGATGCTCATATGTGTGACGATAAGTTGAGTGCTCACCAGGTCCGCGATGTTGGCGATCTGCAGTGCGTCGTGTACAATGTCCTCCCTCGTGTAGTTCGGTCGGCGGCTGAACTGTAAAGACCAGAGCAAAGCAAATCAGTGATAGTGTCCTGACAGCGAAAGTATGTCGAGGAACAGTTAGACGCTTACCTTCGCCACCATGGACTTGTCGAGGACCAGGGCCAGCTCGATGAACTTGGTCATGCCCTGGATGTTTCTCTTGAGCCGCATCAGTTTTCTTCTCCTCTTCTTCTCCCTCTTGCTCTTCTTCTGCTCGTCAATGAGTTGGTCCTTGTCCTCCTCCTTCTTCGTCGTCTTCTTCTTGCCCGCCTCGTCGTCCTCGCCGTCGGCGTCCGCCTCCTCGTACGACTCGTAGCCCTCGTCCTCGGCGTCGTCCCCTTCCGCCACCACCTCGTCCTCGAGGTCCACCTCCCGGAAGCCCTTGAAGAGGTCGCGGTTCACGTCGGCGGGCAGCACCATGTCGTCCAGCATGGTGTGGAACGTCCTGGCCGCGCCCCGCTGCCGCCGCGCGCGGCCCCGGCCCGAGTAGTCCACCTCCATGCCGTTGGCGCAGCCGTGCTTGCCGCCCCGGTCCCGCGCCGCGAAGATCACGTGCGGGTGGTTTTGCTGCGGAAACACAAGCAGAGAACGCGACGATTACCAAACGGCTGACCCAAATACAATATTCCCATTGGGTCAAAACTTTTTCGCTGATTCCCCGCGTGTGTTCTCTATAAAAATAATAAAAAATAACAACGCACACACACGGCGATCTTGCAAAGGTCTCGCTATGTACCACAGGAATTAAGGGCCATGCCTGCTTGGCCAACCTTCCCCATTGGCGACCCCCCCCCC